AACATGTAAGAAGCTCCTCCTCCACTTTGCTCTTCGTTAGGAGTTGAGTTATCAGAACTGAATTTGCTGTCCCTTTTTTTATGATAGAAGGGTGGCAAACAAGCATATGGCCCGTCTGTTCGTAAACGGCACCATAGCCTATAGACACTTGCGATATCAAAAATATCACTCGCGCCGTTGCCTACCCTGGCCCAATCCCCTACTCCGTGGAGCCCTGGAACCTTACTCACCGACAGTAACACAACACCACCAGAAGGCAGTATTATTTTACTGTGGTAAGGTAAGGTGGAGATTACTTCCTAAGACGGGCGCTCCAATTCGAGTGGAATATTCGCTATGCCTTACCTCTCTAAGGGTAACCTCAAATAGGTTAAGACAAAGAATCTAGCTAAAGGAACGAGGACAGCATTCGCCAAAACCTTCATCGAGGTAGAATAAAATTGATTTTCAGCAAGCTTTGTTCGCTATCATTACACATTAGGTAATTCTTTTTTCCGTAAGAACGTTTTTCGAATTCGGCTTTTTGCGTCCTGGCTATTCAGTGACCAGAGCTACCGCACTATTCGCTCTACTACCCACCCCAGTTTCTTAAAAAAGCAATAAAATAAATGGTTCTTCCAGTCTCTTTCTCTTCTTAGATTTTTAACTGCAAAACTTACGTCGTAGTGAAAATTGCAAGGAAGACAATTTCTATAATGATCCATTGATTGCTTGATTCTATGCGCCATTGTTCAGGGTAACACTGTAACTAATGCAATGGAGCACGATCATTTTGAGATAATGTTTATTGAACTGCTTCTTGCAACCTCATAAGTATAGGTAACGATTGTCTTTAATTGCGCTCAGGTTTGTACTCAATGGTAGCATTAAACAAATTCATGATTTACTAAGATAGAGGTGTGGATTCTAGCATGATTCTCTAAACTTAAAACTAAACATCAGTCTCTCCCTTTCATTCTGTATAGAGTATGACAAGGATATACTGTAGTGAAATTTAAGTTTAGGTTTGGAGAATCATGCTAGAATCGATACCAAAAAATATGGCGTTGTTTAAATATATAGCAGGAGATTTAAATTATTCTTTAAGTACGCGGTCAAATGTAATAATACTGTTTTTGTTTGTAAAAGTCTACGTCTTTATTTCTAATGTAATATAATATTAGACATAGAGGCCTATCCATGGTTGATGTTTAAGAGACATCGTGAGAAATTCGGTTTTTTATATCTTAAAGTAAAGGGTGAGCTTGTTAAGAGCGCACTGGTTAAGGCGTTTGGCCATAAAGAAATTAAACAAAGTTCGTATGGCGAGTCATTGTGATTGAGAGGTATTATTTGAAGATCCGCCTTTCTTCGGAAAGCAATGTTATACCTCGGCTTTAATAGCTTTTATCACCCACCAAACCGCAAAGCATCTTTGTAGTGAGTTATGGTCGCTTCTATCCAGAAAACCTGTGACCTAGCAATGGAAATCAAAGATCCGCAGATCCATCGGTACTACTCTAGCGCTAGTGTAAAAATTTTACTATTGTAATTTGAATATGACATTTTTATTGGGTTTTATATGCCTTTAATAAACAATTATTAAATTAAATTAAAAAAAAATTAGAACGGACGCGAGCTGGGGGACGTTTGATATAATGTATTTGAAATAGTAGATTATTAACAAAGGGGATAAAGCAGTGTCTTCTGTCGCGGGTGACGATTTAAATCGCGAGCGTAACGAAGGACTCGAGGTTTACTCCCGAGCGTAGCGAGGGTGTTAAAATCTTAAATCACGAGCGAAGCGAGGGATTTAAGACGAGTCCTGAGTGTAGCGAGGGATTTAAGTTCACCCAAGACTAAGACAGCTTTATCACCGAGGAAAATATTCTACTTTTCGTACCATTTGCGAAAAAATTTGCCACAATAATAATATGAGATATGCGTATTCCTTTTTCTAAAAGATTTATAATGCTTTATATACAAACTCAATGGTGTAAATACAGATGTAGTTCAGTATAAATTTCGGTAAGTCATCCAAATTTAAATGACATTCTTCCCCAAGAAGATGAATGAAATTCAGTACAATTATCTTTCCCTATTTTTAACAGATTAAAAAATGACTATTGTTATGTTCGCTTTTTGTGACATAGAATGTCACTTTTTTGAGCAAGTGGTACGAAAAAACTATTACTGTCGCGCATATTAGGTACTGTTGGCAGATACCGTGCGATAGGGACAACAGTAGCTAACGCTGAAAAATGCGCACAAAAATTGCAAAATTCGAGGTATATGGCCCTCGACGATTTCCTCCTCGAAAATCAGACATATTATTATGTAAAAGAATTTTTACCAATAGAATGATAAGTAGTTATACAAGGGCTATTAAGTTTAGCTTTTTTTGTAAATGTTCTTATTGAATCTCCACACTAAACGTCTTCAGTGGTGATAAAAATTTGTTTATTTTTATGGGCTTCTAGATTCTTTGAAACACAAGTTATCGAAAAAAATGAGTTAAATTTTATTTTATGTATGAAAATAATTTCTTTAGTGATAAAATCAAGGAGGAAGCAGCGGAGAACTTTTGTATGGAAAAAACATAGCGCGCCTCCCCTCTTAAAACTGAAGTGAACAAAATTCTTTCACAATTGGCATAGAATCATATATTTTTTAATTAAGTACGTTGTGATAATATAATGTAGGCAGTGCTGTCTTTGACCTATTGGAGTCCCTGGGCATATTAGGATAATGCGGCTCCTATGACCGTTTGGAGATTTAACAGGAACTAGGGACTTTGTATTTGATCTGAGGGGGTCCCTATCGATCGCGGGGCCCTGGGCACTTGCCCAAAGTGCCCACTGGGAAAGACGGGTCTGAATGTAGGAATAGATATAATTTATAGAAAGAGCTACCTACGATGATTGTGAAATGTTTACAAAATTATATGTTTTCACGACAAACTGTACTCGACGGCGATTACGGAAGGCTCTCGACGACACTGACAATACCTAAATGTTGTTGTGCTTACTCATAGTTGTTTGACATCCAGCGGCCGCGACCTCGTCACCCGAAATTGCACACTTTAGGATGAGAAATCAGACACGAAATTGCTCTAAACACTCATATTCTTGATGTTAGATAAATGACTTCCTGCTGCTTGCTACAATGGAGCCATCATTATTCCACCGCCGAAGAATGGAGTGCGCTGCCGTGAGAGTCTCTCACGACTTTATTACGGATATATATTTTTGTTTGTTATAATTAACAGGTTTTTTTCTAATAGTCCGCTCTTACCTTAATTGTTCGATAGTGCCGTTATCCAAACTATTCTAAATTATACAAAAGTTCGCTTCATTTAGGTACAGTAGTGAATTGCCCGGTGAGTGTCGGAGGATTTTCTCATCACCTACCTTCATCATTAAATTGTATCATTACTTTATTTGAAAGTTTTTAATGCCTTGAAATGTAAATAACATTTGCAGCAGTTCCGTTATCACAGTAAAAGCTATCACACAATGTTGACCAGGTAGCGCTTGGTGTAACAACAACGCTCCTGTTTCTGCTTCAAAGATCGTAGCATGGACTACGTTACGATCTTGGGTTCGAATCCAGGTAAAGAGATCTATTTGTGCGATGAGCAAGAGTGTTTACTATCGGTAAATTTGACTAGGTACTTACTTAACTCAAGTATGATGACAACTTTTCAGATTGCATTGAAATAGGTTTAAACAAATGACTGTGTGTTTTTAAGGTATTGCTTTTAAATAACAAGGCTTTAATTTGGGCAACATAGGATAGTAGAATCTGTTTTATGAAAATTTTAGAGCTGGTAACTAGAGTGACGATGTAACTATACTGAGATTTTTTTCCCTAAAAAGGGATTACCAACGATTCGTTCATAAAAGGAACGAGGGACTAAGAATGCTTTGACTTAATTTTAGACACTTTTTTATTTTAGACGCAAGACTGTCTTTGGATTTCGCGCAATCGCAACATTGTTCATATTGCCCTCTTCTAAATTACATAGGCTTTCCTAAGATTATAAACCGAAACACTAAGATTTTTTATTGTGAGCAAACGTGTGACGTTCAGTCCTCCAGGAGCACAGGAGATGCTGACGGGGATATGTGGGACTCCGTCTGACAATGCCCCTCACTGCATATGGGCTGCAGCTCCACCAAACGCGTGGTCGCCAGTCGCGATTCGTTGGCCGGTAAAGCCACAGGAACCCTTTCAGCTACTTCTGAGACCTCACCAGTGAGTATCCGATTCAAACGGACACGCTTAACCCTCGAGAAAGGGGAGTGTTAGGGATGCCCCAGGGCTTTAGGGTAATTCCCAGCTATTAATACAGGCCTGTACAAGGCAGGGCGCGGACCGCGTAAGTCCGGACACTCCGGACCCCACTTGCCTTTGACGGGGAGAGCCTAAAGGCGGTTATCATCCCGTCTGCTTGCCCTCACTCTCCTACATCTGATAGAGTCTGCTTGGGCTTACTCCTTGCCTATTCTCTCCGCAGCCATCAGCGAGATGATATCCTCGTAAGACGGAGACCACCACACAACCTGCCTTTCTTCCTGCCTAGCATGGCAAAAACCACGTTGTGCACTACAGATACTGCTTGTTGTGCCATAGCCCAATATTCCTATTCTCTCTCTAGGACAAGTCTGTGCCTCAGCAGTTGGGATATTAATTTTCTGATGACAATGGTAATAATCCTCTACGCCACTATCTCTTCATAACGTATGCCTAAGGCTTAATTTATTTTGAGGCTAGGCTAAAAAAAAAGTGTAAAAAATACCAATTTACTCAGCCTATTTAGTTATATTTTATGTCTTCAGTTGACTTTTAGCTTTATGTATCTGATCATTAAGTTTTACAATCGTTTAAGATTTTTTTTTCGCGGTAAATAAAGAACTTTTTGCGGTAAGTTGACGTAAGTATTGCTGACTTGACTGTAACTACATGCGGATTGGGCAAATGCAAATGACCTTCTTTATTATAGTCAGTGGGCAAAGGATTAATTAATAATTTCAATATGGGATGCGGATGAAAAAGAAAGAAAATAAAACGCAATATTCATTGTGACTCTTGTTTACAACCACTCACAAATGCAACTTTTGACTTTAAAGCGAAATAGACATAAAGATAGTTTTTTATCGTCCTCGACTCATGGCATAATACAGACAACATTACATTAATTACTTACTTGGTTAGTCCATTACCTTTTACAATAAATACATTTTTCAAATTAACGTTTTAACAAAAATATTTAAATATTCTAACCGTTACTAGGTACTTCAACGGTTTACTAAGAATACGATACATTCAGATAATAAAAAAATATCTTTGTTCTCAGGACTTATCATAATATGTAAATGCACTCATGCAAAACACTAAGGATTTTTAAATTTTATACAAACAGGAAATATTTATAAGTTGAGATGACTGATGTATAATTTATATGTTAGAAGTTTCATATTTTTAGTGTATTTAATATTTCATAAATTGCTACTTAACCGCCTTATTCCAAAACGCAGACTACAGTTAGTCTTAGTTTAAACCAAAAGTCTCTGTCTTCTTTTTAGCGACAGCATGTTTTACTCCAGGTTTAACTTTAGTATACGTTTTGTAATAAAGTGGTAAGTGCTTGAATCGTCATTTTTAACACATTTTTTTTATCTATATTACGATAACCTATGAGTGATTTTACGAGAGTTTAATTTTATATTTTTGTAATATTATCACTTAGTGTGGCTGTAAATACATTAGATCATAAGCTGTAGCCATTTTAATAAGGCAACAAATAGCAAAAATAACAGTTTAATTTATTCATTTCTTTTAATCCTAACCGTTCACCTAATTTATTAATAACAGATCTTTTATAACTTAGTTAATTGACATAATAACGACACGAACACACGTGTAGGTCATGTCATGATTTAAGCTGCATTAAGGTAGCTATTAAGTCTACTTTAACGCAAATTATATCGTGTGCTGACCCCACTAACAAAATATTAACTTTTCAGTTAATTAACAAACATCTGACTTGCATTTATATATCGCGTCTAGGTATTAAATATGAAGTTTGTAAATATAAATAGAAAATAATCTGCAAACAATTAGCTGCAGGTCAATTCAAACATTTTACAATGATTCAAGTACCTTTTTTCATTATATGAGTTGTACTTACATCTATGTTATATTTAATATATTCAGGCTAACTATGGGAACGTTAAAAATAATAATTTTGTCTATCAATCTTCGCTTAGCTTTTACATAATAATATTATAATGGACGGATAGTGTAAATTACTTTGATCTTTTTAGTAAGTTACGATAATGCAGCTTTAAGCAATCGCATTGTGCATGCACTTATATTTTTATACAAAAAATATACAATGGATTTGTGATGTATATTAAATTAAGGGATAATTATACAGTTATACCACATATTTTGCCGGTCCAATTTCAGAATTAAATCATGTTAAAACTTTATCAAATTATTAGTAGCTACCTACCAACGTGCTGGTTAAATACCTACAAATAATGTAGGTAATGAATAAGTAAAAAAAACAGTACCGAGTTGAATAAGCATAGCTACTTACATTGGACAGATAAAATTCGGATAATTAATTATTCACAATATTGAGAGTAGGTAAGTATTAGGACCTATATTTTATCCATAGTAAGCTGCTTTTTCGTGTCATTAGTGTAAGGTCTTAAGAATTTTCAGTTAATAAACGAGACTAAGGTCCCGTTCATACGACGAATACACCATTGCACGCTGTAAACGCTATGATATTATATTTATCACTAGAAATACTCTTAAGTAATTAAGTTATTTTTATGCGATTCTAAAACGGGCGCGGACTGTGTACCGGAACTTAAAAAACCGCCGTATGCGCGGGGCCCTCAGAGCGAGAATACATCACTGCGTTGCGATGTCGAATCGCAAAAACGACGTCGCATCGCAATAGGATGAGATGACGCAACGAAAAAAAAAACGAGCGAGCCTTACAATAGTCGTGTGTAACATTAATTGAAACCTCACCTTATATTAGTAATAAAAGAAATAAAACCTACTACAAAAGGAATAAGCCATTAGAACATTATGTTCTAAAATCAAATCAAATAGCGCGCGCTTCCCAAACTTCCTGTTACACACTTCCGACCCATTTCACGTAATCACTCCCACAAATTGTACGAAAGCGAGAGGAAAGATGTTACATATCAAAAATCATCGCGACGGCCGGCAACGCATCGGATAATACCGTGATGCTTTGTAGTTGTACGAGTACGACGTCTTAGATTTCTACGGGGTGCGACGCCGCGACGCAGTGCTGTGGCTTCTCCCTCAGCTAAGAAGTAAAATACAAAAAGTAACAGCTACTGACTTGTCATTACTCCGTAATTTGCATGATTAGGTAAGTAACTACTCAACATAGACATATACTAATGTCTTGTTAAAATTGCTTCCAAGCAAAAACTCATTGGAAAACCCATGTGCCTTTGTTGACACAGACGTTTATTTTAACGACTGTAATTTAATTGTTTTTGCTTATTTGTAACAGCTGTAGGGCGACCTTCTACAAGCATAGCTTCAAAACTTCTGACAGATGTTATTGTCTTATTTTATGTAGGTATTAATGTTTTTTTTGCAATTAATGTAGCATTCATTGAATGCATATTTTTAGGTATTTTCAATTATGTTTAGTTGATAGTTTTTCTTAAAGTCGTATCACTTTTTAAAAAGCTGGATTTCTGTCCAGCGCGATCCTCTTATATTACTCGCATTTTTATTAGACACTGATATCTTCTGACCCACGGGATTCTCGATGTTTCCGTCATAATTTTAAAGTAATTTACGGTTCACTATAAAAAGACGAGTTAGTAGAGTATATCCTTAGGGAACACACGCATACTACGTGACCCGGTTAGGGGGGAGGAGGAGGTTCCAAATGCCATGCTTGGTTACAGTTGGGGAGTAAGTTATTTGGTTTTCGTCACAATAAATATCCCAGAGGATATTGACTTTATTGGAGGAAATTTTAAATAAAAAAATTTTTGAAAGTGGGTCACATAGTATGGGTATGTTCCTGCATACAAGTTAAAGACCATTGACTATAAACAACATAAATAAGCAAATCATTTCTTGTGCTTTATAGATTAGATTAGATTTAGATTTTTAGATTAGATTGGTCGCATCACAACGGACACTGTTTAAAATTATTAAAAAAAAACTATTTTTTGTGGTATTAAAGTCTCGTTTTACTTGTCTCGCCGCGTTTGCATTCTTTGTCATCACCAAACTATCCTTTTATTCAGGAACCATTTCAAGATGCTATAAAGTTTGAATATTGGGTATATGAACCAGATTGTTATGAAGGTCCTTGAGATTTCTCACTTTACGCGCACAGATCGTTGTTTGTTCATATTGGTAAGCATTAGAGAAATGTAGGAAGTGAGAAGGTCGTCCATCTTGTAGCCCAGTGAGGTCTCGCACAGCAGCTTCGATCCTCGCACCAGATTACCGATGGTCATGTGGAAGTAAGTGTTGCCCGAAGACCAGTTAGATATTCTCGTAAACGGGTGCGTCACTAGGATGTCCTATGAAACAAAGATATAAATATATAAATATTTCCAACACTCACACCAATTAGCCTAGTCCCAAAATAAGCTCTGTAAAGCTTGTGTTATAGGATACTAGGGTAACGGATAAAATACATATACAGTACATATATATAGAAAAACATATTAAACAAGTACAAATGCTCGTGTTCATCACACAAACATCTGCCCCCACCGGGATTCGAACCCGGGACCTCTCGAATTGGCGACACCATGAAACCCGGCGTACAAACCACTCGGCCACGGAGGTCGTCAAAAAAGTTGGGTTTACTCGATTTATAAGTGGAATTGTGGCGTTTGTTTGGAGAATGAAATGAACTTTTTGGTGGTGTTGCAACGTGCTAGCAATACTTTGCTGGGCTAACAGTTTTTCTTATTTGCCACCCTTTTCACATAAAAAAAGTTATTCTGATTGATTCATAGAACCAGGCTGCAGCACCACCTATCGAACACCTTTGTCAGTTAGGTTTTCTTAAATTTTCTATATATTTTCCGTAAGAACTTTCTAAAGTGGAAAAGTCGTTCTGAAGGTATAAGGTATCGCGTGACCATGGAAAATCACGGTAAATTTTTAAATATTTAGATTAGATAAGTAGATAAGACATTTATTTGTATTTGATTGGACTGTTAGATTTATCACCGTATTTGATTGGGCTATTAGATTTGAGAATAAAAGAAGTCAGAAAACTCTACACTTGTAGGTAATTGAAAATTGCAATACTTTTACAGTACATACAATTAAACAGAATACAGGATATAAAATAGCTTATAAAATAATACTATTGGCTGACTATGTATAATGGTTGGTTATTAATCGCTTTATAATTACTGGTATTATTAGTATTGATTCATACTGTAGTATGCATCCAATCATTTTCAAGCATTTATAGACTTTTGTCGACGGCGATTATCTTTATTACCTTTAATTAGTGGCTCTTAAAAACATGGACGAAAATGACAATAACGGAAAATGACGACAAACTATTAATTTTGACCATTGTGTAACAATTTGTATCTTAGGTTTTCACGCACACCGTTCATTAAATAAAACAGGTCAACGGTATAGATGCACTGATTTTTTTATTTATTGGATGAGTAAATAAATCAGTGCATCTTTACTATTGATACTTGTTTTATTTATTGTGTATCAAGCTATGATTTGCATCATCAATTTTAAAATCTTGTGTAAATGTTCACAGAAGTGGTTTTTTCACTTTAAAAAGAAACAAAGTTTTTCACATATTTTATCGTCTAAAAATGCAAATTTATTGTAGTCAACCTTGGCACTTATTAGATTTTTTAGGGTTATTTATCAAGTGAAACTAAACTAGTTTAAATGCACCTTTTGGCACTATGTTCTTTAAATAATCAAAAACAATGATTAACAAATAAGAAACCATAATTGGAACATCAAATTAATGAAAATGTGTGTGTGTGTGCGTGTATGTCTGTGTGCGTGCTTTTGTGTGTGTGGGTGTGTGTGCTAGTGTGTTTTGCGTATAATAATATGATATGTATGGTATGGACTGTACTACATTATGTTTATTATTATGTATTGTTACCTATTGGCTAAATTATTTAATGACCTGCAACATTTTTTCTGTTTCATCATACGTAAGTGTTTTTAACCATGACATTATAGTCATTTTACATTTATGAATAGTTAGAGGATATATGTTTAGTATTTTGTTTGTTTTATTATAGATTAGGGGTCCTAGAAATGTAGGGAAGATATTACTAAAAGCAGTCGAAAAACATATCAACATACCTTTGTCTGCGGGTGAATCAAGCTAACACCATGTTTATTGATAGCGATTAGCAGTAGTTCCGGGTAGTTCGGCTCCGTGGTCTGCTTGACCTCGAAGAAGGCGGAGCCGAAGGTCGGCCACCGATAGATGACCTTCAGGAATGTGATCTTGGCGTCCTCGGGCGTCATTCCCGCGTCCTGGTTGTAAGAGGCGACTATGGCCCTCTTCCAATCGGCTGAACTCTGAAGTTTTACCAGGTCAGCCGGTATCAGCTCGCGAAGCATTTGTCTGCATATAAAAAAAACATGAATTAGCTGTTGTGCGAATCCGGGGTGTCTGATAGTTTATGATATCTTAACATGTAACAAAAACAAAATTATACCCATGCAAGCTCGTTAAATTTTACGACTTAATGCTATGTGCGAAAGAATATAGACCTTATTTCTTTGATACTACGCGCAATTCTGAATGCGCTGTTAGCAATATAGCAGGTAGGGACCGCGAGGAAAAGAGACGGCTATATTACTGATCATGCATTTGAATATCACAAGTATTTTCTATTAAATCAATTTACAGTAAGAATTAGTACAAAATTTGCTTCAAATGTGTTAAATTTACAAACATTGATTAGATAGCTGTCGGAAAAACGAGACTTTACATAAGTACCTACTATAATTATTTTCCTCGCATTTTTTCACGGAGCTCTGCGGCAACTTTACTTTTTAACGGTCCGCGCGTGACTGTGAATCAAGAAGTGCTTAAGTAGTGTTTAAGCACTTCTTGGCGCACGGTAGGTTAGCGCGGCTTCGTATGATCTAACACGGGTCACTATTACCACTACGACATAATCCCCGCCAGCTAGTTTGACTCACGGTATGGCCTGCAGCTCCTGCTTGTTGTCTCCGAAGCGCGCGCGGTAGGCGAGTGCGGCCAGGCGCGCGGCCTCGTCGCGGCCGCAGCGGTGGTAGCCGCGCAGTAACTTGGGCAGCTCCTGGTGGAAGTGGAAGATCACGTCGGCAGCGCGGTCTTTGCCCGGCACTGTGTTCGTCCACAGCTTCTTCATGAAGAACACCTAGATCATGGATGAAATACCGGTCAGGTAACTCTTTAAATTTTCTTTTTACATTGAAGAAACGTCTAAATTAGTTCTTTTGGGACATTTTCTTTAATAAATTTATCCTTAATCTAGATACCGTCTATCTGTCAGATACGTTGTAAATTTTGATAAAACTTAAACTATTAACTCTAGTGACGCGTCTTAGATGACTTCCTACTAACAAACTTTACCTCTCTATGATATTAGTTTAAATGTAATGTATTGCATTACAACAAGCTGTCATTTGATTTATTGATTGCGTACCTGATACGTGAATTGCGGTGTGATGCCGTCGCGAGTGGGTCTCGCCTTTTTAATCCAGTCAGTAAGATGTCTAACGAAATCGAAGAAGAAATCGCCCTCAGGCACTGAAATAACCTTATCAGCTATCTTAACGAATAAACTAAAGCCTTCACTAGATCTGAGATTCAGTCTCTGTGCGATGTTTTGACAGAAGTCTTTCGCTCTCGTAGAAGAATCCACCTCGAAAGCTTCGTCTGTGTCATCGGGAAAGTACACTTTGTGGAATATTTGTGTAGTCTTGTGTTGAATAGCCTCTACTTCAACTTGATGCGGAGGATATTTCCTTTGACCATTCCTCAATGTTTTTTGGAGTCTTTGAAGTGAATCTTGAGCAATTGGATAACGTCTAGTTCGAAGGAATAATGTTAGTTCTCTAAGTAACCCTTGACTACATGCAAATAATCCAGTCGCTAACCACATCAATTCCCAGCCCCTCTCTTCGGACATTCTATTTCTATTGTCAGTCAGTTGTTTCATTATTTGGCAGTAAATTTCGTCGCGAAGAATTTCGTGTTTCAAAGGACCATCAAATATGTGATCAGTGTACTCGTTGCCAATACGTGGTCGTTTGGACGGCAGGTCGCCCATATATTTTAATATCGCAGTAAAAGCAAAACATGCTTCTTCTGCTAGCTCTTCCTTTGCCTGTAACTTTTTCAGAAGTGGTAGTTTTATTGGTTCTCTGGAATGTCTCCATAACTCGTCTGCACCTCCTCTCTTGGCCGTAGATAGGGTAAGCGTTTTTGACACTGTGCGTTTTGGTGGTAATCTGAAATGGTCTAATGCATACTCCAATAATGTATGAGGCTTGTCTCTCGTGTCCGTACCATTGAGTGTACCAGTTGGTATTTTGCGACCATGTTGTGCGCCTTCTTGGCAGAACAATGTCAAAATGTCCGGTGGTGGTTTTGTTAATGCGGGCAAAACGTACACTGTTTCGGCGGGAAAATCGCCTCTTTCCATGGTGCGTTCACATCGGCCAATACACCAACCGTTATTTAACACAGATTCACCTGTGCTATCTTCTTCTAAAATTATTAGATCTCCTTTTTGGAATGTTAAGAAACTTGAGCCCTCTCCAGGAGCTTTGTAATCTTGTAGAGCTATAACAAACTTTGACCGTTTCTTTAAGCCTTCTAGAAAGTAAACTACTAGATCCCGAATATCTTCTGCGTTCGGACTTTGGAATGTGAATTCTTCACCACGAACTGTAGCCAAACTGAATGTTTGAGTAAATACTTTATTTGTTTTCTGGCTTGATACAGTAGTGATTTCTGGGAATGATAACTCTAATAACACTTGCTCTTGGTCATCCACGACGTATACACCAGTCCAATTTACTGCTATTATAACGTCATTCTTCGGTAAATTGGGACCTGAATTCCTATAAGCTTCATAAAATCTAGAGAAAAGCAAGGGCCACTTGAATTTGGCATAACTAACGACGTCCTCCTTAACCCTGTAAGCAGGTATTTTCTCTTTGACGTAATAACTCTTTTTGTAAGCTTGCACAACGAGGGCTCCCCACCTGTCGACTGCTTTTTCTACTCCTGTTAAGCAATAATCTGGTATGTAATTAGGTAGTAGTGTGTATAACCTCTCATTATTCATGTCCTGAGCGTATTCAATATAATATTGCTGAGCTGCAATCATTGCTAGGTCTTCTTCTTTGTCACATCTGTATTCGCCAAACTTCACCCCTCTGACTACTTGCTGGTATATAAGATTTGTGGCAACTTGATCCTCTGTGGGATCGTGCCAGGGCGCGAATATTTCTTTCCTAAAGAATAATCTCCACGGAGCATTTCTTTCCTGTGCCCCTTGTTCTTTTGCATATTGTTCACATTGAGATATCGCATCCATAACGTGATCACCTCCGCTTCCGAGTGAACTGACTTTGTCAAACAGAGCAATGTATAACGAAAAACCGAATTGATCACGCAATCCAATTTTATCGGACAACTGATTGCAAAGTTCTCTTGCTGTAGTCGCTGAATCAGCTAATAAAGTTTTTGTATTCCCGTCCATAAACGTTATGGGTAACATTATTGGTTTCTTTGATTTTGTAGCTTGCAGCTCTAACCAAGAAGGTGGCTGATTCCTAGTTCCATTATTGAAAGTTCTTTTCAGTCTATCTTCACAATAAGGAGCGTAGCCAGGAGGACCTTCTCTAATAAATGCTCTGAGATAGTTCACAAACTTTTCACTGGGGGCAAAGCATCCAACACATAATGATAAAAGAATCCATCCCCTGGCATGCGAAGACTTCGATGGATTATTCGTTAATTGTTTGCATATTTGGCAATATATTTCATCCCTCAATTCAGCGCGAAGGATACCATGGCCAATTATGAAATGTAGTTTTTCTAAATTAGAAGTTGGGCGAGATTCTAGCCATGACTGATAGCTATCAGCTGTATATTCTTCATCCTGAAATTATAAGACGACGTTTGTGAATAACTATTGAACATTATTATTTGGTTATTCTAGTTTCATATTAATTCAATTACCTGTAATTTACGTCTAACGTCTTCTCCTAGTTTGTTTTTCCTCTTAAGCGTCAACGATACTAATTTGTGTCTGATCGATCTTGGTTTTTGCTTGTTCAAGTAAGCATCTGGATCAACTCCCATCAATTGAGCTTCTTGGAACTCTTTGGATCTGATGAAGTTTCTGCCAAGGGTGGCTGTGACTTTCGACATGACGGATGTATTGTCTCTGTCCATCGTGTGATATCTGGGCTCTGGCAGGTCCCCAGTAAATCGCAAAATAGTAATCCATAATGCTTGTGCAGCCTATAATAAAAATAATAAAAAATCTTTATAAAGGTGTTTTTCAGTTTAGCTATTAGTAACAATAAACAATGCAAATATAAACAGTAGGTACATAAAAAATATATAAACTGTTTTAGCATACCCAAAACAGAAGCGATATTAAAAATATTAATATTTTTTATAGATATTTAGATATCAATGCTTTTAAATTGATATAAAAATGATGTAAGATTAAATAGATTATCATTGCGATAATGGTAAAACTCTCAGTTTTGAATAATATGTTTATGTCAAAAAAATATTGACAGTTCAATAATAAAGGGTAATTCCACTCACCAATTGATCGCCTTGCGTATGCAGTGGTAACAGGGGATGTTTCAATGGTTTCCTCGAGTACTGATGTGTGACGTTACCTTGGAAATAAGTGGCTGCAAACTTTTGGAATTTATATTCGGAGAGATCTTCTTCGTCTTCCGAGGTAGTTTGCATTGGTGTAACCATCTGGATATTTGAAATTACAAAGTCACTCACAATACCCATGTTGGTAAGTAGAAAATGCCTAATTATAATATTATCATTTGCATCACATACGTCATAATTTGTTAATAATAACGTCATTAATTATCTACTTGATTAAATACAATTTTATACGAGGCCAGATGGTTAAAAGTTAATTAGTCACTATCACTGATGAATGAAATTTCGATTATACTAAATTTAATACTTTCAGGGTTGAAATCGTTTGTATTGATATTTATGATCAATCTTACTGAATAGGAAGTTGGAAGTTCCTTACCTCTTGCTGATCAGCTCTCTGTTGAGGCAGATCACTGAACACAGAGGTGTCTTTTGGTGCCGGAGCCTCGCTACTGGAGTCCGGCAGGAAATCAAACATGGCTTCCACCAGCTTGCTATCGTCCACCGGCTCGTCTTGCTTGCGAGCCGCTTCTTGTAATAAAGTCCTCTTTGCTTCCAACTGCCGCTTCTCTTCCAAAGCCAACTCTGCTTCGCGCCTTTCTAGTTCATGCATGCGCTCCTTTTGAAGGAGAAGAGAGAAAATACACATTTTAATTTGGGATTATGTAGTTAAGAATTATAAGACAGAATATTCGGGATCAAACAACATTATCCACAATTATAAATGTAAAAACAGAATATAAGACATGTTAAGTTTTTTGAATTTTAAAAGTAAAAGACGATTAAAAAGCTCTTGTATATATTCTACAACTCTATAAGATTGTGTTACTGCCGTTCTTTTGAACGATTGCAAACATTAGAAGTGGAGGAGCCTTCTAAGGAATCCTGTCTTTCACGTTATGTTGAGCAAGAACAAGTGCAACAATCATTTGCATGAATGTAGGTAAATTTTGCATTGCTTACTAACGTAGTATGTTTTGTAGAACATTATTTACTTAAACACTTTAGTAACACGTATTTATTATTGCACTGCGCACTGTTACACCAGGTACTTTACTGGGTAAGAATAAATTAGGTTATTACATCTCGGAGTGGTACGACTAGATTGGGCTGCTAACTCTAAAGTTAGCGAAGCATGTAATAGTTGCATAAGACGTATATGCTTGATTGAGTGACAGCCGGTATAATACGTTACCTACTGCGAATATATAGGAAAAGCAATCAAAGTTGCGGTAAATAGAAAAAGTTATTACATAGTTTATAACTGCGAAAATCTTAAGTAAATACCTGTTTATCGGTTTGTGGTGACTTATGTTTTTAATGTTTTAAATTTTTAGAAAAATTTACTAGGTACCACTATTATACTTAGGTTTTAGTTAAGATTCTTGCAAACTGATACAGTGATAAGTTGTTCCTACCTGCCATTTATAATCAATTGGATCTTCATGTTAACGTTATTAAATTTTAATTCACTAAAACACACGAGTGGCCTCCTTTGTAATTACATTATATCTGAAATTGTAGGTAATTTAAGTCTTGCATTTGATTATCTGTTTTGATAATAGGCAGTGTTATAATGAAAATTAATATTTCAACTATTCCTTTTATCGAGTAAGATTAAAGAAAGATCCGCCGATTTTAATAACGAGGTGAAATAAATAAACTAAGGCACCACAATATTTGAAATTAAGTAAGAGGATTCCGTCTTTACATCATGTTTTATAAAAAAGCGCATCAAGCATGCTTGCTTACTTACGTAACTCACGCACGTAATTTATAATCATATACTTAATATAATTTTATGAAAAGCTCATTCAAAGATAAAAACTAAAAACCTTTCAAGTGCGAGTCGGACGTGCGCACTAAGGGTTCCGTGCAATTATTTAACCAACATTTGACACTTATTATAATATCGAGCATAAACGGCAAAAAAATCACGTCTGTTGTGGGAGCCCCCTCAAAAGTTTATTTTTATTTAATTTAATTATTTATTTTTAAAGTGAATATATAACCCAATATTCTGTGAATATTTCAAGCGTCTACCTGTTGCCGTTAATAATATAGAGCAAAAAAAGGCAAATAAATCACGTTTTTTGTATGGGATAAGGGGTGCCCCTTAAATATTTATTTTTAGTATTTGTTGTTTGTTACAGCGGCAACAGAAATACATCGTCTATGAAAATTTCTAATTGTCTAGCTATCACAGTTCATGAGACACAGCCAGTTGACAGACAGACAGACAGTGGACTCTTAATAATAGGGACCCGTTTTTAATCTTTTGGTACGGAACCCTACGGAAAAAGAATAAGCGAAAGAGATCTGTGTATTTTAAACATAATTAGGAATAAAGAAAATATTACGCTCTGGGAAATTGATTTGCCGTGTATATAGAATATTTGTATTTTCCTAGATAACCATAACTTTAGGCAACAGTAATAGATAAATGCAAATATATTATGCTGCCGGCAGAAAGTCTATCACGACAGAATAATTACTTAATAAATAAAATAATTTGGAATTGACTTATTTTATTTCTAGAATATTACGTTGAATAAAAATACTTAATCTGAAAAGTAAATGCCAATTTATGAATTGATTAAAATCAATAAAGATTGAGATTAGCGTGACTGCAACGGGACTGGTAAGCAATATTATTTATAATATCTGATTATTTTTTTGTGATAATATCTTGCCAACACGTTGGATAAAAACAATGTAGAGAGTTATGATGTTCCAAACATCCAACCACCCATTAAAGAGGGCTCCCGTTACGTTTAGTTTGGATTATGTGCAAGTAAAATTTGGTATAATCTACAACCACAGGTCAAATAATCCAAAATTGTCCAATTGACTTTGTTTGAGCTTTATCTTGTTTGATATTCATTCATTCATGGTCGATTGAATGAAAATCATTTGTAATTCCTTACTATCTACTATAATCAAAATATACACCGTGAATTTTGAGTTACCTGAATTTACTACATTTTACTAAACTTTACAAGCTAATTCAGACAATGTTTTAGGTTATATTACCGCAACAAAAATCTTTCATATTTTTTTCCAAAAATGGATTCACGCTAACTCCTTTATTTATTTATTTATATTTATTTATACTTTATTGCACAAAAGTATGTACAAGTGGCGGACTTAATGCCATTAGGCATTCTCTACCAGTCAACCGGAGAATTTTAGCAAAAATCTTAAGGTAGTGCAAAAAGAATTCATCAAATTACTTATTATATTTTTATATCTATGGAAACAAGATAATATATATATATATACTACATAAAATAAATATCTATAAAAATACATAAATAATATATATATATATATAGAATATACATACAAATATACATCATATCAGGAGGATGCGGAGGAGGAATCTAATAAATGATGACGTACGGAGCGTTTAAAAGCCAGTTTGTTCGGAGCATCTTGAATATGAGGAGGCAGTGCGTTCCAGAGTCGTATAGCTTGAAGAGAAAATGAGTTGGAAACAAAACCAGTATGGTGAGAGGGAAAAGCTAGAGTTTGTTTGCTGCTAGACCGAAGATTCAGATTATGGATACTGCCAAGATACCGAAATTTACATTTCAAATATCCAGGAGCACATGGATCATTAATGATTGAATATAGGGTGGAAAGAATTCTGAGATTTCGACGTTGGCGAATTGTTAACCAATTTAACTTCTTCCGAAAGGCAGAAACGTGATCGTATTTACGGAGACAAAAAATAAAACGAATGCAGTTGTTGAGCAATCGATCCAATTTGTTAAGAAGTTCTTGAGATATGTCAGCGTAACACACATCAGCATAATCTATAATGGGCAAAATTACGGATTGAACCAAGAGAATTTTAGAAGATATTGGGAGAAAATTTTTGAATTGATAGAATGACCGAAGTATACCGATCACCTTACAGCTTATAGCGTCTACTTGTGCTATCCAATTGAGAGAATGGTCAATCTGTATACCCAGGTCTACAACTTCAGGAGAAAACTTTATTGGGGTTCCTTCAAAATAGAGAGACGCAACAGAGCTCATGTCCATCTTCGCCAGAAGACGAGCGCTGCCCAGGATAATGGCCTGGCATTTATTGAGATTGACTTTAATACCGAAATTGCGAGACCAGTCCGAAATTCGCTGAAGATCATCATTTATAGACCTAATGGCAACTTCCAGGTCATTCACCCCAATTTGAGCGTAAACTTGTAAGTCGTCTGCGTAGAGATGGTAAGAGTTGCGAAGAATGGAGGTAATGAGATTGATAAAGACTGAAAATAGCAGAGGAGAGAGAATACCGCCTTGTGGGACGCCAGCCGATAAATCGCACCAATCCGATAAATCACCGCCAGCTCGAACTGCTTGCTGACGTCCAAGAAGATAAGATGAAAACCAATCTAGTTCCGGAGACGAGATTCGCAAGTGGGATAGTATAGCAAGGAGAATGTCATGATCAACGGCATTAAAGGCATTAGAGAAATCAATGAGAACCAGAACCGTTAACCGTGACATCTCCATGCCATCACGAACGTCCTCAGTGACTTTTAGTAAGGCAGTTGTGGTGCTATGACCCGGTCGAAAACCAGACTGGTATTGGTTTAGCACGTGATTTTTAGCTATGAAAGCAGATAGTTGACTATGTACAGTAGCCTCCAAGACTTTGGACAAAAATGGCAAAATAGAAATTGGTCTTAAATGACTAGGAGTTGTGGGATTACTTATTTTGGGAAGTGGCAAAATATGAGCCCTGCGCCATGAGTCTGGAAATTCACCTGAGGAAATTGATTTATTAATTATGTATGTGATGATAGGGAGAATACTATCTAATATACTAAGGACCATGTGCCTACTTATACCATCGTACCCAATGGCCTTAGATTTGAGGGACATAATGGTTTTACGAACCTCGGACTCCGTCACTTGAGAAAATTGGAAAATATTTGTAGGTTGATCAATTAGAGAAGAAAGATCTGCGAGAGCATTGGATATATTTCCTAAAGAATGAGAAGAAGTTTCTGAGAAATGTCGGTTGATATCATTGAGAGAAAAAGAGTGAGGAAGAGAAACATTTCTTGACTTAATCAACCCAAGAGACCGAAGAAATTTCCAAATATTTGCAGGAGATGAGCGAAGAATATTTTCATGGAAATAGCGGCGTTTAGCAGCTCTTACCATCTGATTACAGCGGTTCCTCTTGGTCTTGAAACAAACCCAGTTTTCTTCTGTCCTACACTTCTTGAATTTACTAAAAGCTCTGTCACGTCTCTTCATCGCAATGCGGACCAGTGGAGTCATCCACGGTGCAGGAGGTCTTTTAACTCTCACTGTGCGAATTGGTGCATGTTTATTGAAAAATGATAATAAGACTGCATTAAAAGCATTTACCTTTTCTCCAGTTTTTGCTGCAGATAAGACACTGGCCCAATCAATGGTCAATGCATCCCGAGATAACAACTCAGGGTCCAGGCGAGCAAAGTTCCGCATTTTTACTAACTCAGGGACAGGCTTGGGAGACTTTATTTTATAAGAGAGGAACACAAGGTCATGCCGGGAGAAACCAGGAGCCGAGAATTGGCCATGAAGAGAGACAAAATCAGTAGAGGAAACAATAATGTGATCAATCCATGAGTCATTACTTTCGATGTTATGGTGAGTGGCATTAAGAGGCAGAAAAGAGAAATTGTATGACTCAATGGTTGATCGAAGAGAACGAGAAACGAGAGTGTCCTGCAGAAGGTTTGTATTAAAATCCCCCATGATAATGTGATGTGCGTAATCAGCTGCAAGTGTGTCAAAGACAGAAGTAAGAGATGGAATATAATCGGCAGCAGGCGGGCAATATACGACTCCAAGAACAGCTTTGGAACCACTCACCAAGATCTCCAGAAAAAGATACTCCACGCCATTTGCAAGCTCATCAGAGCAAGAAAGAATTTTATACGGGATGCCAGTCCGGAGATAGATGGCAACACCACCGCCCCTCCTCAATAGTCTATCGTGACGCACGAGAGCATACCCTGGCAAAGCATAAGTCTTAGAACTATGGCAAGGCTTGAACCAACTTTCAGAAACCAAAACCGCATGAATAGTGCTAGTGGTGAAATTGCTAAGCAGTTCGGTATGGTGACTAGGTATACTCTGTGCATTAATGTGACAAACATTGAAGTTCCTCCTAAAAGTATCAAATACTTTGGAAAGTTTGTTGCCCAACGTATGATCAGCCACTTGCACATCGTCCAAAGAAAGAAACGATGTGTCAGAACTCACACATGATTCAAAATCTGCAACATCCTCAGAATCTGACATAATTTACTATAAAATATAAATACTAATATTGTAAAATATATTAATAATATACTAAGATAAAACTCAAATATTAAATATATATAATAAAACTATAACAAAACAATCACAACTCTAGAGTATGTGCTCAACCCGCCGGTCAACTGTTACAATATTAATTTAAATAAAAACAAAAACACACTGCAAAAAAAAATCATAATTGTTCAATCTTTATTGTTCAATTATGAAACCTTAACAATTTTAATTGTCATAATTTGATTCAAATAACTTTTAGGATCTATGTCCTTTAAACGGATAATAATTCCATAATAGGTATGTAAGTTACAGCGCCGTTTTATGATACGCGGATGGAAACCAACTTCCCGCCAAGGTCACCTTGGTTGGAATACTGGAAGTCCGTCCACCGTCTAAAATAGCTTTTAGTAAGCCATATACAGCAACGTTTTTGTATCAGGGTTCGCACACAGGTAACTCAAAATTCACGGTGTATATAATACTCTACCCACAGAAAAAACCCAGTACAAGCTTTTTTGTCATTGGCTAACGATAAAAACGTAATTTATGCTAGGCTAGGAGTGTGTTCTCGTTACTTCTGCAATGGCAGCCGTCTTTCTTGTGACGCTTGGGTGACGCAATTTCTATTATTATTATTAGGGTTCCGTACCTCAAAACGAAAAAACGGAACCCCTATAACATCACTTTGTTCTGTCTGTTAAGACAATAGGGTATTTGACAAGTTTTAGAAAATGATCTCACGTTATTGACTAATGTTTATTGAGTCCGTAAAAAGTGGATATCCATCATTCTGTATTTCAGTAAAAATAACCAAATAAAAAACTCCATTTTCAAGTTGCCGCGAAAACGTTTTCTGGACAATATGGCGTCTTACTAGTGTGTGACTTCACACGACTGTTATTAAAACGTCAAACGATACAATGTAATGTCACTTTAACCGGAAGTTTACTTGCGTCTGACGTCATTTTAAGCTCCGCCAATACCAAGCGTTTTGGGTCACGTGACAATAGATAAGAAAACGATTATATTTTTCGTGGGTTATTAATAAAATTATGAATATTTATTTTGTAAAAATAGTAAAAACCCCTGCCAATATACATTCTAAACACAGATGCTAACAATTGGCACTTTATTTTTAATACTGTCAAATACCCTTTTTATCTCGTGAACCCGTGGAGGTATCGTATCGAGTTGAAATTATACCCAGGACTACGGTCCCTCGTAGTTTTTGGCTCTGGATGTTACTCAGTGTCTGTGTGTTCAGCGTGCACTCACCCGGTAGTTCCGCTCGGCGATCTCCTTGGCGCGCGCGTTGCCCTGGTGATGGAGCCGCTGTTCCTCTTGTCTCCGCAGTCTCAGAGCCTCGTGGTGCGCACGCGCCTCTTGCTTCAGTCGCCGGTAACGCCGCACGGCGATCAGTCGCCGCGCGTGGCTCTGGATCTTTACTATAGCCCACATCTTATGCCCGTATGAGCGACGTACCAGGTAGCCGCGAGCTGCCGCCTGCGTGAAGGGTTTCGAAGGTATAAATGCTACTCTTGCCATTTAAAAAAAATCTTATATTATTAGAAAATGACGGATACTGGATATTCTCTACATTTGTTACACCTGTTCACATCCTGAACAAATTGCGTTTAAATAGCGAATCGAAAATGACCCAAATATTCTGTTCGTCTGCCACATATTCGTTGTCATTCACATCATGTCAGACAAAAGATATCAACTTTTCTTTTGGAAAAACTTAGTTGTAAAGAGATACCTATCGAATTCTGTAATTTCAATAAGTGCACTCTAAATGGACTGCATGATGAATTTAGGCCTGCGATCTTGAAAGTTAAGCAACTTTCGCAGTGGTCGAACATTGGATGATTGACCAAAACTTATTATATCGAACTTGTCCATGTTTCGGAAGGCACATTAAGGCTGCATCTGCAGTCGTTAGCGCCCACCAATCTGCACCGGGCCTGCGTGGTGGATCACGGCCCAATGTCCCTATTCCATTCATAGGGAAAGCCTGTGCCCAAGCAGGGAAGACGTTAATGGGCTGATGATAATTCATTATTACTTTAACCAATTGTTATCTGCGAAGACCTATTATTATTTATTAGTTACCATTTTACTTTTATATTTTGAATTTAATTAGCTGTTGGTTTTGCAATCAGTAAACAAAAGGTTTTCTTTTATAAAGTGATGAAATTTATAATATTTACTTACTTGCAAAGAAACAATATGCCCTCGTAAATGCCTGAAGCGGTGAGCTAAAACTCTTGCTCTTATGAGGGCTTGCAGACGCGCGTATCCCACTTTCATTTTGTTGTATCGGATCCTCTGCAATTTTCCACGCCAATGACGCTGAATGAGAACAGCGGCAGCTCTCATTTTCAAGAATCTTCTGCGATAAACCCAACCCCTTATAGACCTTTGAAGGATCAATATCTTCCTAGTCAATACCCTATCTCTCTCCTGCTCAAGGAATAAGTCATGAGCATCTTTAAGGAACACTTTCGTGTGACCTAACTGATAATCCGATTTCCCCAAAACAGTAGCACAAATTTTTGCTGTTGCGGCTCTACAATCCGTCTTATGCGCTGGTGGGACCCCAGATATCAAAAATCTGTATCTTTCTACGAATTCCTTGAAACTGTGCCGTATGGGATACCCCGCCCTTCTTATTCGAATAGTCTCCATCATGCCAGAATATCTTAGCTGTCGACAACATAGCCCTCTGTCGAATAACATAGGCTTCTTAAATTCATTTGGTTTGATACATCGTATAAAGAATGGTTGACAAGTCCCTAAAGTTCTCATCAATAAATCTAATGACTTTTTGAACTGTGTTGAAAGAGTGGGTGTGCGTTTTCGTGTTTCTGATCCCATGGTGATGTCGTCTTGGAAAATTTGCTGCAGGAACTTGTTCGTTGAAATATGTATTAATTGTAATAAATCAGCACTAAATGTATCACGATTTTTCTCCAGAAAACCTCTGGTATCATAAAACACTATCCCAGCAAAATGATTTAAGCCAAAACTAGTGTTGATGTCGGACTTTGGTTTGAGGTAGTTTCTGTGAAGGCCGTGAGTCTTGTGCAGCTTAGCTAACATAGTTTGGTCAGTGCCCTTTGGAAACTTCGATTCTTCATCTATTAAAGCCATGATATTAAGTTGTTTCAGCGCTATCAAATCTAAAGCATCTTGATTATCAACAAATTCTATATGCTGCCAGTTTATTCCCTCGTGATTATATTCTTCTTGTTCTAATTTGAAAATGTGTCTAACAAAAAATTGTTGCAAGTTTTCATTCGCAAAGTTTATACAGAACTGCTCGAAGCTGTTGTGATCAAAATTTTCGAAACCAAATATGTCTAGAACACCTATAGCTGTTCGCGTTGTCGACTTGGGCTTGTAAATAGCTGCGTTAATTTTTTTCACTATAGTCACAAATAGTCTGCCATATATGCCTTTAACAAAAGCATCACGAATGTCTACTGATTGATCTCTGCTCAGTGTGGATACGACAGTTTCTCCGTGTGCAAACAACGTTTTTCTTGTCAAAGCACCGATCAAGGTCTGTGTTGGAACACCTAACAAATGGGCTACTCTCCTAACATTCGCTTGTTCTACAATTTCAGTGGCATCCAAATTGTCTACTACAGTTGCTTCGTATTTGATATTGCCGCAGTGTAGAACAGCCGCTAGTAACTTTAAAATCTCCCATATTTCTGCTTCGGTGAATAGAAGGACTTTCATAGCGGATCTGATGTCGGCGAACTCGGCAGCATCGTCTCTGCCCTCGCAGGAAAAGCTGCCTCCCTGAAACATTATTCGTAATTATAAACATCATTTCTTTCTTCTTGGGTTTTTGTTGCTGAGAATGGTTCCTGGTTGACATGGGATAGGAGATATGATGATGGCTGGAGCGAAATGTTATTTTCTACTGCATCAGCTTAACATCATGTGTGAAGTGGTAATTTGGTCTTTAGCGTCTTTTATAAGAAATAAATTAACAATCTCCTGTGTTGGGTTGACATATAAATTGAAATATAGAACACGTCAGCTGTCGTACACTTTTCCAAGCAGTAATAAAAAAAAACAATTAATGGAATAGAAGTTTTAGACAATTTGTAGGCAATTTGAACTGTATTTTTTTTATAAATAACTAAGACGCAAACAATTTTCGGTTTGGCTTTATACCTACGCTACAAACAAGACTTATCTATCAAAGTTTTAAAATATTTAACTGAACTATCGCGTAGAACGATATAAGTAGCTATAATTTCCAAATGTAATCAAAATGAAATAACAAGTCTCGTTTTCTAATACTCCGCCAAAAACAACAACAAAGCTTGGATTTTTTATTTATCGTTTATAGCACAAAGTAACAGCAGTGACATATGAAACAAAGGATTCGCTGACGCTTATGCACTACGTTCGACCGAAATTATCAAGATAATTTTTAATTAGATTTTATTTTCGTCATTGTGTTTTATCTCTTACGCGATATCATTGTTTCATCAAGATAAAGTGAACGTGAAGTATGACGACCTACCTACGCTGTTGTCAGTCAATTTATATCTACCTATTTTACAAACACTAATAAAGCATCAAAGCAAAGGCTCACCTCCTAGATTTAATTTTGGGGGGTGATCTGAATCTGAATGACATGAAGCTGGCCATTGGTGTGATTCGTTATTAGTTTATTTTGTTACGAAACTAGTACATTATTGGAATCCGAGACAATAAGGTTTAATTACTGGACACGGGACAAGACGCCAAATTCCGGGACAATTCTGGATTTCCCGGCCATCTGGCAACCCTATATATATGACGATTGACGACCTCTAAGGCTCAAGTACTATGTTCGCCATGTTTCAAGTTGTCGCCTAGGTACTTAGAGGTCCATCCCGAGTTCAAATCCCATTGGGGCAGATGTGTATGTGATGAATACGAGAATAAGTCATGGATGTTTATATTTACTTCTTAATAACTATACTTATATTTGTATCAGTGTTATGTATTCTATCCGTTACCCTAGTATTCCATAACACAATTCTTACAGTTCTTACTTTGGGGCTAGGCTAATTAGTTAGAAATAATTATTTATTTCTTATATACAGTTACTTACCGCAGAAAGATATCTATATTCTGAGGGGTCGCTTAGTTCTAGTTTCTTCTTTTCCTCTTTGGATAATCCAGCAAGTAAGCAGTAGAACACGTGGTAGTTTCTTTCCTCGGGACCTTGAGATACGATTCGGGACTTTTCCAATAAATACTGCTCTATTTTAGCACCTTCGATGACGCCGTTTGCGTTAAAATGAATATCGATGTATTTGCCGAACCGAGACGAATTGTCGTTTCTCACTGTTTTCGCGTTACCGAACGCCTCCAGAATCGGATTTGCTTCCAGGATCTGTGGAAATACGAGAAGAGAAACTAAAGTTTTGTTACAATTTGGAGAAATATAAGAGATTATTCTAAAATAGTTTGTAATCTATCTAAACATTTCATACACTCTATCATCATTTAACTATCTTAAAATGTAGCAATGTTTTCTACAGTACCAAACTAAAACAAGTTTCCATCAAACAATTAACGTTAAAGAATGTTAGAATAGTCATAAAATTGTCATTTTAATCTCCCATATCATTAATGTTTTTTATGTCCCCGTTTATTCATACATCTAATTCTGAATTTCACTTCATTCTGCTTTCAAAAACATCTTATCGTCCTTCCTGTAGTGGTATTATGTAGTTACTTACTTTATACAGGGAAACGAGATAATACAGACTTTTTTGTCATTGTCGTGGCGACAGCGTCTTCGTCTGTGTTGCTTCTTTAGTCATAGATTTCCATTATTTTCTTTTATGAGCGATTGTGTAATAAAAAAGCCCTCCAATCACTCGTTTTCTCAAACAGTGTAAACTTCTTAAACTATACCTGTTCTATTCTAAAATGCTTCCCACTAATAGCGGCGAGGTACTGCAGGATCAGCTTGGTGGACTCAGTCTTGCCAGCGCCCGATTCGCCACTGAAGACGATGCTCTGGTCTAGCTAAAAGTGGTTTAACACCACCTGGTTAAACTAACTATACCTGTTGTTCTATCCAAGAATGCTTTCCACTAATAGCGGCGAGATACTGGAGGATAAGCTTGGTAGACTCAGTCTTGCCGGCGCCCGATTCACCACTGATGACGATACATTGGTCTTGCCCGTAGCGCCGCATGTGAGCGTACGCGTTGTCGCCTATCGCGAAGATGTGCGGCGGCAGTTCGCCGATTTTCCGCTCTTTGTATAACTTTATCTGGTCTGCAGTGTAGATCGGCAGTATCTGGTATGGGTTCACTGCGACCAATATTGAACCGGTGTAGGTCTGAAATGGAAAAAGATATATTTTTAATGAAAAGATATAATTTAAAGTTTTAAAGCCTGCCCTTTCAGACAGACCATCAAATATACTGCACCGAGTAACATCTCAAAAAGGTCACACTTGGCATTTAAAAATAAATTCATCAGGACTATGGATCGGAATAGATGGAGGTCTATTACTTAGTTATATCTCGAAAATAATCGTGCAGCTATTGCTCCTGGCAGTAAATGTAATTCCTCTTATCCTATGAAACTTACATAGTTGAGATTATTATAGTATCTGATGAGCAGGTTTTTCTTGATGCCGGCATCGTGAAGATCGCTGAGTTAGATCATAACCTCGACGCCATGTACTGAGGTTATGTGCATGGCTTTGATGCGTTGCTCCGGAGGCAGCCATTGTTCCTGGCCGTCGATCTCCGTCCTATTCCTCCATGTAGCTTTGGCAATGTTACTTGTTGCAGTATAGCAGTATAATTACTTACATAAATGAGGTTCTCATTGTATCTAATGAGCAGGTTCCTCAGGATGCCGGCCTCATGTAGGTCGCCGAGTGAGATCATATCCTCGACGCCGTGCACCGAGGTCGCGTGCATGGCCTTGATGCGTCGCTCCGGCGGCAGCCATTGCTCCTGGCCGTCGTCGTCGCGCACCCTGATGCGGCGCCCCTCGGCCGCGAGCACGCGCGCCCCAATGGCCACATCGAACTCGCGGCCCGACACTGGCTCGATCCATATGTAATCGCCCTGAAATTTAAAACGTGTCTTGTAAGGCATTTTCCTCAAGGCCACTGAACATCCCTACCAAAAACCGCATACAAGGCATACTTGATTTACACCTTAATTGCCATTCGACCGCGACGTTACTTAAACGTGTTGCATGCCACCAACTTTGGTGACATCTCCATTTGCTCGACTAGATATCGCGCTGTCTTAAAACAACAGCTTCGTAAAGGTTCAGCCAGACAGCGGGCGAGGCAGGACGGCAACGTGACGCTGGCGCGATATAAACAGTTGTATTGTATCAGTTATTATGATATACGTCACACAGTGCGACACGCGCATTACAACTGTCTATATCGCGCCAGTGTTGCGTTGCCTTCCCGCCCCGCTCTCTATCTGATTGAACCTTAAAGGTTTATCATTTGATCTAAATTTTAAAAATTTAGATCAAATGATAAATTGTATGAAAAAAAAATTTTTAAAATACATCTCTTTTTACTTTTCTATTTCGTATTTACATTTTTTATTACATTTTAATTTAAGCTACCGAATTACGGCCGACATTCGGCAGACCCAACCCTAATTCGGCCGAAGACGAAGTTCGGTAAAAGCTTCGGTAATACCTAATGTGAAACGATTTTCGGTGCATCTGTAATTAATACCATAGGCCAATAAATTACAAAGGCAAATCATAAAAAGCCAAATAAGTTTAGGTTTCATCAAAAAATAGACTAAAATTCAATTAGTTAATATACTATTTACTTATATTTTAATTAAAAGATAGTAAATATGTTATAGTATGTTAGATTTTTTGTTGATCAATCCGCTCAAACACAACATACCTAAGTAGTCAAGTAACTGTAAAACCGAATTAACTTCTCTCACATCATAATATTAGATAGAACCATTATAGGTAAGTAAATTACTCAACAAAATAACAGTTGATTTCATTTCCTATGGACATAATTCTATATAGTCACGCGACCATCGTCCGCCGCGTTTGCCGGTATGCTTAAACACACCAATTACAACCGGAACTGAGTCAAAAGACAAATGTAAGAATTAAATAGAAAGTGGTCCGGTCCTCCTTGTTCGTCCGGTCCAATGTATATTTATATTACTTTTCAATCCACTATCGATTTCAAAGCACCTTTAATGCTAGTCACGTAGTGGTGAAATTAGACAACCAAATCTATACGTCATTAAATAAAAAAAAAGCTCAGACTTGTTTTGGCTCAAATTTTACACCACTTGCAAATATAAATAAGGATTATAAAGGAAGAGACATTTTGAAAGTTAATAACTACACAGTAAATTGCTATAATTTACACCTTGGCGGTAATTTAATATCAAACAGCGACGCAATTAGTCTAATGCCAATATGAAGCTTTAATTATGAAATATAGTAAAAACAGTACAATAACTTAGAAACAATTTACGTACCTCAAAAAACAGGGCGCTATCCATTTTGAGCAAGTAACATTCTGTGCATGACGAATAACAAAATATTTTTCTCAAATATTAACGAAGTGTCAACATTGAATCTACTCGTGATAATGTTTATCGCTTATATTGACCGCGTGTTCTGAGGTCGAGTATCGAATCAACTGACATTGCATCGCTCTCTCTCTACAAATTCAGTCTGATATATCTCTGTATCTGAACAAAACATACAATGCACGTAGGTAGCAAACCCACATTAAGTATTCTGTGGTAATACTTGAGAAACACGCCTGTGTTAAAATTTTTGGTAGACAAACTTAGCAGGCAAATTGATAAAGAAACTTTGTAACAACAAAAACTCGGCCAAAACTGAGTTGTACTCACACACGGCCACACGAATGGCTTTTTGCCATTGAAACGTTTGAATTTTAACTGACAAAAACCCCGAAAAATCATATTTCTAGTCTTCGTTTCTTTTTATTTAATCTTTTATTATTTGTTGTAATAGCGGTGACAGAAATTTATAGGTTCGTTTGCAGGTACACCTGCTGTCAAAAGCTTAGGTACACATGGTTTCATTGCTTTGTTATCCTTTGGGCCACCCAATGAAATCTATTAAATATCTTCGTTTACGAAGAATGTATTGTTAAATAACATAATTTATTACTCTATATAAAATTATTGTAACTTAGTATCGTACCCAGTAACTGTCCTTTAACTAAATATGTAAAATAATAATATAATTGTTTGTAAATAAAACAAAAAAAACATACAATTTGATTGATACATTTCATACGGTTTTATCGACTTTACCAATGTATTATTATGATGGATCGATGATAAAAAACCCACCAATCTTTCTAATATGTTTGATTTAGATATGAAGCAAAGTAAATTAGTCGCTAGGGAGTCGATGCAGTGCTAAACACTTGTATGACTTCAGAAAGCCCTAATGTGACATTTGATGTGGGGCTAAACGAAAGGAAGAGAAGGCTATACTTTAATCCATTAGATATATGTATACAGTTAATATTATAATTTTCTTCCATTGGACTGGACTAGGGGTGATAGAGATAGTTTGTAAAAAGGTTTTATTCGACTGTGGACACGGTAGTTTTTACAGACCATGAAAATTCATCACATGATAATATCCATATAAGAATATTCTGTCCCGTAGGCATATTCGCTTACGATAATTGACAGATAGAAATTTTAGCCAGCAAGGTTTTTACTGATCCACTACTGCTTTATTTGAAGATACATATCCTGAAAATCATCGAGGGATATGCATTTTTTGGAATCAGGCCTAAGCGAACTTCCATACCGAGCATGGTGTTGCTGTGTAGTGCCCTGATGAGAGGGAGAAGGGTAAAGAATGACGACATTTCTGCTCACATAAATGAACTGCGAACTACATCTCTCCGAAAGAACGCGAATTCTATGCTCGTGCAGGAAGTCAGCCATTCAGGCACAGAACTGTGCAAGCAGACCGTACGCAAGAAGCTTGGAGAGAAGACTTGTGCCAGACCCTATTAATAGTTATGGCAATGTAAAGGCTGATAGCCAAAGGCAACCCGCTTGTCAAAAGCCTCACCTCAGTTATATGTCACGTACGCTGGAAAATCACCCCTCGATATATTCAGCCTAAATCGTTGTGGTCTTCTTGGTAACGGCTCATATGGTTATAAAGGACCCTTTGCACAATTCTGATTTTTGTTGTCAAGAGCACTTTTAGTATGTAAAATCTGTAGACCATCTATGTATAATGTTATAGTACTAGAGAATGGATTTTCATGCAATTTTCACCTTAAATATTTTTTAACGGAAGGTTTATATGTTACTACTATAATACATAACATACCCGGGAACAAAAACTAAAGATTAACACCGTAGCACAGTGAGGAGGGGTCACTATTTCAAATACAATTAACAAATATAGGTTGGAGCCATGTCAATTAACTTAAATAGATCCGAATTGCAATTTATACTTAGAAATTCTTTTAGACACAGGTTGCCGACGCAACGCCTCAAACTATTCAAAAAATTTCCCCTGTTTCAATGGCGTAAGATAAATATTGGTACGACCAATATTTATCTTGTGAGAAAGTACCCAACAGCATAGCCGGAACATATAATTATGCCAGACAAACTAAAATATTTGGTTCCACAGGTCTTTAAAAAATTAGGCAAATAAAGAGGCCTATACGAGTATCTACAACCTTTATCTGATAGATTGTGTTATATGGCATCTAACTGTCTGAAACTTTAATAATTAATAATAATAAATAAATAAATATTTACAACACCAATTAGCCTAGCCCCAAACTAAGCTCTGTAAGGCTTGTGTTATGGGTTGCTAGGGTAACGGATTCAATACATATACTGTACATAATAAATAAGTATACTTATATAGAAATACATTTAAACATCCATGACTGGAGTACAAATATGCTCGTATTCATCATACAAACATCTGCCCCCACCTGGATTCGAACCCAGGACCTCTCGAGTCGGCGACACCATGGAACCCGGCGCACGAACCACTCGACCACGGAGGTCATCATTTATCTATTTACGAGTATTTATCAGAAACTTATGGTGGTAAGCGCCTAGCTTACCAATCTATTCCTTGGTTCTTAATTTATTTTATGACGAGTATCTACTATTACCTACATGTAATGGTTAACCCAGAACAGAATCTAATTTCCAGATTATGCAAATTTGCTTTACTGTAGACTCTGGTAGTATCAAGAATTATATGCAACTGATACGACATCGACAAGTCATTGTTGCGTGTAAATTAGCAGAACATAGGTAATTTGTTGCATCAGTTTCTCTAGATCCTTGTACAACTCCCACGCAAGTTGCAGTTTATGAGCAGTTAAGTAGTCTCATTGGACGATTCGCTCGGACCATATTTACTCTCACTCTCGATATGGCAGTGGACAACTTTACGGTCACCTACATGTCCATTGTAGTCCATTTCCTGCTTAGATTATGACATCCTTTTGCTTGGTTTGACTATTTTAAACATTGGAGGAGGAGATTTATTAAGATACAATTTGCAATGATTGCCAATATTTGATTAATCGAAGGCGGATAACTTCTACATCAAATTCGGGTAGATTTTTTTTTACTAATAACAGTTGAACAATAACTTTTAATTAATTACCTAACTTTCGAATTAAATTTATATAGACATGTGTCTCGTGTTTCTGAATAGTTGTTCTGGAAAATAACGCTTTTAATTATAAAGTCTTTTAGCTGTTTGATGTAGTTATATCTGTAAACGTTTTCTTCTGTATTTGGACAACAAAATCAACATCCATCCCATCTGTCCATCTAAACATTTTAAAATATTTACTTTCAACGCGCATTTCAATTAGTAGGTACCTTCTACAACTTTCTTTTTTTCTTTACGTTTCATTACGATTGCCCGTCAATTACTGAAGCTCACACCAACTGTCCGTGGTGATGATGATTGTACAAAATAAGTGCGGCGTATTTGTTTAATTAATAGAATTAATCTCAGGTGGGATACTACGAGCGCCGTGCGCGTGCGCCGGGTGAATGACCTCAGC